GTTGCAAAAGAAATGTGTCTATATTATGAAAAAAAAAATTTAGATAACAGATAATAAGCTCAAAAATTATTTAAGTATTATTTTTGAAAGAATTGATGTTAATTTATTACTGCTTTTATAGCACAAAGATCTTAAACACTCAATATGAGATTTCATAGTTATTACTTAAAGGTGTTAGAGTGAGTTATTATGGATTCCATTTCTAGTGTAGTTATTTTTATTTTTATCAAATTAATATCGAACCAGGTATAGGTTGAAAATTAATCGGTATAATAATATATGTTCGGTCAAAACACAATATATTTTCAAATATCAAAATAAATTAAAATAATAATTTAACTTTTGGCAAAATATCGTATTAATATCAAGGTCCATATAAATAAACATCTCTGAAACTAAATCCTTATAATTCAAATATAGACGGGATAGATTGAATACATTGTTTTAAATAAATCATCTGCCTAGCAGTATTAAATTTACCGTATAAAAGACGACTCTACCTTGGAAAATTTGGATTGATAAATAATAATCGTCAATCGATAAAATAAATGGTAGAGAGCGATTCATGAACGTCCACCCTGTGTATTAGAATTATATGCGAAAATCGAAAATTCCAGTCTGTGAGATACGGAAACAATTGCAGCTGTCATGGGGAGGGGGGGGGGGTCGACACATTTAGGTCACTTCGCGGTGGAACTGTGGTGAGTATGTCGTCGTAAATGGGAATATTGTGATGATGAAGATTATTATATAGACCATTGTCTATCGCCATTTGGGATGGAAACAATTCCGACCTGGAGTCGGTGAAAAGTTATACAGTTTTCACTCGTGTGAGCTTGGGAAACCACATTTTTTTGAAAAATGGCCGTATCAAAGGCTGTACCCCATGACGGCTATTATATACAAAACAATATCACAAACGTATGGTACGATTATATTGACTCGATTTCCAATCGATAGCGATGAAAAAATAATGGTCATTGGTCGAGCGAAACTTTTGTAGTTTTTTCGATGAGAAAAAAGCAAATAAACAACAATTATAACTACTATAATATATATTACATGAATAATGTATACAAAAAAAAAACCACCGAATAAAAAACTATGCCTCTAAAGGGTTGTTGTTTGAATTGCTATAATATTTTTATTTACCCCGATAAAATGTCAAATGCAGTGCAGAGAAAACGTAAAAATAAATATTATATTATAATATTATAACGAACGTAAAAGTTCATTTTAAGTTTTTTAGTGGACTAATGTTTTGTTTTTTTTTCCTAAAGGAGCAATAACTTATAACTTAACCTAATTTTATAAATCTTATAATTTAATAAGCTGTAACGTGTTACAATTGGAATTGCCGATCAATACAGTTGCATTTTTTAATCGTTTAATGTGAGACTTTAATGAATGTATTATAATAATATCCTAAACAAATTTGCCATAGGTATGTCATATACAACTGATCACTTAGAGACAAGGAGTGAACAAAAACTCGCTCATCTTAAATTACTTTTTTTTTAAACTCAATTGTCAACGAATTGAAACTAAAATTATTGAAATAAAACCATCATTGAACATTATAAAATAGTATCCCGTATACTGCAGTTCTAGAAATAAAAATATATGGTGTTTAATCGTCAAATGAATCAGAACGACTTAGTTTAGACGTGTTTTTGTATTTTAAGAAGCTTACTATAATTCTACCGTAACCATGTTTAGTATATTTTCATAAACTTTGAGTGCAAAAACAGAAAACTAAACTACAAGTATAACATTTTACTTTTTATCGATTGTATAACATTATAGTCGAAACAACATAATACATTGAAAATATCATAATTCGTCGAAAACTAAATTCGGTCAATCCCAAATCCCACGGTTTTGTTAGTTTTGTCAGCCGAAACAAGTTTAAATTATAATATCATAAAACATCGCTTTGAGTGGATTGAAAAAATTCACCATCGCGTACTTAACAATAAGTGACGTCTTTGTGAATTGTATTGACCTATGACTATGGCCAATGGATACAAATTAACCTATTTGGTGATGAAAAAATATGGTTGGTATACTGGAAAAATCAAGTACGGGTACTGCGTGGTATTACAGAAGAGTTCAAAATGTGTCACAAAAAGACTGAGATTTCTAGCTGTAGGTACATTATGTTAAAATATGACGGAAATACTTTACCTACCTATATTATGTTATTTTAATACATTTTTCTTATCACCTACTATTTTCCTTTAAACATAGATAGGCGTGACGTCATGAAACCCACAATACTTTTTTTATAAACTATTATTTCGGCGATTTCGGAGCAAGTTCGTTAGCTGTTTGCGTACAGTATTATAATAATCGGGCGACGACGCCGCCCACCGATCGCTAGCCCGCGATAAAGCCGCCGAGTTGTTATCGTCTGGCCCCGCCATTGTTTTATACAATTTATACACATAACTGTACCATAATAATGTTAAGGCACACACGTGATATACCATGCACACGGCGTATACCCTGTGCCCAAGGTGACTTTTCCGTGACACACTTTTTCTCGGAAAACTTTTTTTGCGTGTTTCGGTTTCTATCCAGGTACCTGTATAATATGTATATATAAAATATATTATACGCGATACCTGCAGTGTTACAAAACGTATGTGCAATTCGTAAAACCGAAAACTTATTTCGTTATTTTTTTTTTGTCTGAGCAATAAATGTGTTGTATGTCTTACACACACACTCATTATTTTTTTTTTTTTTTAACGGCCGACCCTATAGTTTTATTATATTTATAATTTTTTTAATTTAAAATTTCAGAATCATTTATGTACCTGTATTCGCAAGTATCTTATGTTTTAATTCCATGAGTTGATCCCCCGCCGCGCGACCAAATCGCATATAAACGTACGACCAGTACGAATGATAATCACTATTTATAATTTAAAATGTGCCGAAACTAGAAACAAAAATTATTTAAATCAATTAAAATAAGGGTGCAGCGAAACATGTAAATATAACAGATAATATTATGGAACAATACAATTTCTGAAGAATACGAAATCGGTCTAAACAATCATCCCGTCCGTCATAATTCAGAGTTAGAATACAATGCATTATTGCCATTATATGTTTTCAGTTTTTTTTTCCTTTCATCCGCATCACAGCACGATAATTTTTAGGCCACGTAAAATATATACTTTTTGCTGTTGAAAAACTTTAAACAAACACATACAACTATAATTATTCCCTAAGACTCCAAAGAATTAACAAACAAAGTTTAGGTTAAGTTAATTTGAACTTTTTTTTTTACATAGGTAGTTTATTATTAACGTATTTGGTATTTTTTTTCCAAACTATAACAAGACTCTTGTTTTAAATTAATTCAATTGTTACTCAAATCGAGTTTGTCCAACCCCTACCCCCCGTTGCGCAAACAACAACTTTTTTTATTTAGGGAATTATTCTCAATCCCTTTTATACTACCACTTTACATTATACGCTCGAATACGTTATATTATTATTCTTATATTATTGGAAGCACCCTCCCCATGAAACAGTATTTAAAATATAATTAGTTTTCTATAATATTTAATACTGTAGTGCATTTATTAATAGGTGTACTAATAGTTTGTTCTCTAACAGGATCTCAAAAAATGTAGGTAGGTACAATTGTAGACGGCCACTTTTTGTATAATATTATTGTATTATATTTGTATGATATGGCACCAACAATAGAATTCATCACAGTATAAGACTTTGCCATGCAGATTATTTTATCGGAGAGGGGTATTCAAAATATTTATTTCAATTTTTTTTCTTGATAAATATATTTTTAATGACGCAGTATAAATTATGATGGCGGATACAAACACATATTATTGTATTAACAAACAGGTTGCACGCGTTATCAAAACTATTAATGTCAAAATCAAGTAACAACAATGTATCTTAAAAGCATAATATTTCAAATATTGAGAGTACCTAAATTGAAGATGTAGTATTGCAATTTGCTGCATAAAATATTAAAATCAACCCCTCTGGCCACTAGTGTGGAGTACAGCATTTTACGTTTCCTGTATTTGTCCGTCTTAATCGAAAACCTTATTTGAAAGTTCGATAAGTTCGATTGAAACTCGTGTTCGAAAATCGTGCCCAAGGGTAAACTATTAATCAATGTCCACATTTATCGACGAGTCCGCCTTATTGCTTATTGTCCTCAAATAAAAACGAATTGCGAAGTAAGTTTACTTACCTACTCACATACTCGTACATGCATCATAATGTACGAATACACGTATAACAACGTGCACGATGCTACGTTATCAATCAATATAAAACTGTTGTTAAAGATTCTAATATCAAAAATATAATATACTTATCAAATATATGATTATATTGAGTGCACTTGGCATCACTGCTTAGAAACGACAATAATATCAAGTATGAGATAAAATTAAAGATAGGAAACGGAAGTTCAAATCTTCGAGCGGTTTATAACAAAGAATAATTTAGCATCAAGAGGGTCTCGGATATTTAGTACATTTACGATGTAGACAATATTTTATTATTATTACCGGCTGTGACTATATTATTAACGACGGTGATTCAAACGAATTTTATCACGACTAAAGCAGTACAAACTAAAATATCATAATTTTTATTTGTGAAAATCATATTATTTACTCATTAATAATAAAAAAAATCAATTCAGATACACTTATATAATAATATTATAGGTATACATTCGTGTGGGTAGTAGATACCCTTATATAATAATATTATAGGTATACATTCGTGTGGGTAGTAGATACCTACGTCGTGCGTGTAATCGCTATAATATGTCCTCGATACTGTAAATGTCATTCACTTATTGTTTCTTTAAAATCAATATCGTTCGAAAAGTCGATTTCATTGTACATATTTTTTTTACTCAATGAGCAATATTATAAACAAATCTACTATTTTTTGAAACACCACAGTTTTTATTTCATTCTGATAAATGCACGTACCTGTACTGTATTGTTTTATCCGGTTACGGTAATAGATCAAGTGGCTTCCTCACTTTCTGTAAAAAAAAATTGAAAAAAAATATTACAAAAATAATATCATGCCAAAAAAAAAACAATTTGTTAACAAATAGTAACTGCCTCCACACGATGGACAGATTTTTTTTTTTTTTTTTGAATATATTGAAAGCGTATGGAAATCTTGTATTTTACTATATATTTTCTGTCTGATTTAACTGAGTGCCTGCAGTGTATTTTGTAGCAGTTCCGACCGAACGATTCGTATCAAACCACTTTACGAGGAAGAGAGGACGAGAAGAAAATACCCAAAAATAATAATTTTTTTGTTCATATACTATATGTGCACTTTTCACAATCGTACAATAATATTTACTTACGCGCCTAACCCATAGCGTTCACCTAAACGCCTTGATTCAATGCAGGCATATTACCTGTAAGGCTGTAACACTCAAACGCGTTATTCATTCAAAAAAAACCTTTAACTAAGAATTTGTTTATTGAACTGTTAAAAATTTTAAAATATTACACCGTGCATAGTAGGTATAAAAATATTCCAACCAATGGAAAGTTCAGAAAATAGAAAATTGTTCATATATTTTTTCAAGTCCACATTCAACTGATCAGAATTTAGTCCAAATACAGAGAGTCTTCACTGGCGACTGAATGTAGTCGAACTGGCTCCAGCAGTTCATGGCTAAATCTACTGTATTCGGATCTCTCTGATATATTAGGTCTGCTCTCTGCTTCTAGCCTTCCTACTATTAAATTTGATACCGATTGATGACTGCGACGTGAACGATATCATCATTCCTAATTTCCACGACCAATTGATAACCCCAACAAAATGTGAATTTAGTTTTTTATCGATTGAATATGCGGTATTCAATTATATGTGGATAACGTGCTCAATGCTTACAGAGTGCGGTCGGTGATGTATAACTATTTGTAGCAGAGACCATAATATTATTACTTGTATTTGTTGACAATCATCGAAGATCACACCCATAATGGATCGAAAGAAACTTGGGATTTTTCAAGTGATCGGGATGCACCTCACAAGATACTGTACACATATCGATTACAGGACGATCGTTGTACCGTTTCAGTAGCCCTTATAATATTATAACACGCCCTGGTTCAATGTTAACTGAGTTGACCCGCGACCAAGCTCCACTTGGAGAGAGAGACCTTTAGGTCGGGTTAAGTGATCCGTGATCATCGAATAATGTTGTATATATTATGTGCCTAAAGCACATCATCAGATCTAGATCGACCTTAATTCAGTGACTTTAGAGTACGAGTACAATGAGTTGGTCTGGAGTCGGTCAGTTTGAATTCCTCTTTTGGCCAGAAATAAGGCAAAAGTCGATCGCCCTAATGACCACGCGTCATTTGGAATTTACAACAGGACGTTAAGTCACATCATCCGTCCACAACGCAACATAATATATAATATAAATATACTCGTATACGTCGATTTCCACTTCGAAACGGACGTCAGTCGGTCGAACCGCGGTTGATGTGAAAACCAATATACCTACCTGCAGCTGAATCATATTATACAGCGGCGGCGGCGGCGGCGGCGGGAGATCGATGCCGCGGTCGGATCGGAATAATAATTTATGTGCGTGCCGCCTATACCACCCGGAACTGGAGTTGCAAAAACATACAACACAACCGTAATAATAATAATAATAATAATAATAATGTAATATATTATTCGCTTTTGGAAAATAACAAATTTTTATCGTACGTTCCATGCAGCCCGTTCCACCATCGCAGCACCTCTGTCCCCGTATAAACGTGTACATTATTATATTATACGACGGGCGCAATAAAACTGTAATCGAAAAAAATAACCGAAGCCGCCTCGATGGCCACTCCTCCGCCCCCTCGACCGACAAACCACCTCCACCACCTCCACCGCCACCACCGCCACCGCCATTACTCATCGTGTGCCACTCCGACAGTATAACCATACAGGCGGCGGCGGCTCCGGGGGACTGCGAGAGGGATGTTTTTCGACCACCCCAACACCGCCGAGCCCCCGACCCACCTTTCCAAGCGTCCCCCGACATTTCGCTCGACTCGTTTTCAATTTAACAATGCGACAGCAGCCGCTTTTAAATTAAACGGTGAACCAGATACCACAATAATATTTATATATATATATATTATATATTACGCGACGAACGCTTAATAACAATATTATTATTACGACCGTTACGAGTATAACAATAATAATAATGATAGTGATATTTCCATCGCGTGAAACAGTAGTCAGCTAAGGGGTCCCTCTCCGATGAAATTATACTCAATCGATCGAGAACCGTTCGGACGATAGTTTATGGGGGGGGGGGGGGGTCGAGACGACAATACCCCCGTAGCTGCAAGAGATGATCGAGGACGACGTCACTGTTATGATAATAATATAGTATGCATATTGTGACAAAGACGATACTGAGACGACATTATTGTACTCTGGCGAATTCAAATTCGGTCAAAGAAATTGTTCGTATTATTTTATTATTTTATATCTGCCGCCCGTTTCTCCGCCATTTCGACCCGGGGGTCGAATCCCTACGGGCCGCCAGATCCGCTAACAAAAACGAAACAAAATTGATTAATAATAACCCTTATGAATTTTTGAAACAAACAAAAAATAAATTGTTGACTGACAACGGAAACGTTTGTCTGGCGCACAATCTATTGTCGAATTTCGTTTACTTTTATATCAATTATTATTCTTAAAACCTTACACAGATTTCCTCGTCCAAAAAAGGTTGTCAACTCGTTGCTCCGTCATTAATTCCGTTAACGTTTTTTCTGCATAGTACCATATACCTGTACAACGTCTGTGCACTAAGACAAATTAAATCTCTCGTCTTGCACCACTCCCACATGTTAGGCGGCTGTCCATTGATCCTGATTTTTTCATGATTTTCCTTGTGCGCCCACATTGGTTGTCCTGCGTGGGATCCAAGGAGGGATTTTCCTGTATATGCCTATCCAGTTGTTGTTCTCTTGGTTCTATCGTATAGACATTGTTATCTCTCCGTCCCAGCATCAATTGTATCCCCATCGATGTATTATTTCTTCTTTTGTCGACCCCTGCATTGGCTTGCCTTATTTTCAGGAAACTTGCTCGACTTGTTCTCGATTTCAATCGGTATTATTTTATCGGCTCAGTTCCGTGCATTGAGCGTATTTTTTCAGTTTATATCCTCGTCTTCTCTTTATCAGCGACTACGTAGTAATATTCACAAATACAATTTTGTTTACAACGGTTACGAAATAAAAATATGAAATCAATACATATTGTTTTCGTTTTGCAAAAACTATTTATTTCGTAGTTTACAAAAAAAAAAACAAAACAGTATAAATTGGACCGAGTACTGGGGATCTTTCGAGTTGGATGAAATAGAATAATATTATATAAATAATATTTTAATATGGTATTATTTCCGAGAACTCGCGAAGACTGTGAAACGATTTATTATAAAATATTATATTTTTATTTTACAAAACATTATTACACATTGACGGCAGAAGACACCTGCGCTAATAACGTTGTATTTTTTTCTTTGTAATGTTCGTATAGGTATGGGTGGGTAGTAATATTACGTATTATGTCTCGCGTTCGTCATCTCACATATTAAATGATGTATTCGCATATTAATTGAGTGATATTATGCTACTTGCAGAAACCTTGACTACGACCACCCACAATGCTATAGTAATAATACCGAATTGACGCGTAATTGGGTACAAAATTCATGATAAGAAAATCATATCAAAAGTAGTTGAAAAAAAAAACGTTTGAAAGAGTAAAAACCAAAACCTACGTGGGTTCTAAACCAAAAGGTATTAATAACTTTATTTTTTAAAGCCCGCTTTTTATACCTGAGGGTTTATTAGATCGTAATGTACTATAATTCAAGCTCACAATCGACTGTTTAAGTGGATTATTCAAAGAATTATTTAGAACTCAAAGGTTCTAAATAGAGCATTATTGTTATTTAATATTGATCTAAAATGCTAAATAGAACCTAATGGTGTTTAACCATATATGGTCCTAAGCCATTAGGCTCTACTCGTATAAAACTATAAGTATTGTTTATTAAAAACAATAATACATACGATTTCTGTTACGGACCAAAAAGTTAAAGACAGAAACTTTTATTTATGAATATGATTTAGATTCTCAGTGAAACGACGAGTATATATTATTGATTTTACAATGATGTGCTTGTGTGTGTGTGTATGTGTGTGTGTGTGTGTTTTATTTTTGAGTCTCTAACCACCTTTTGAAGCAGTAAAAATGCAGCAATCTTCGACTTCAATAACTTTTGTATAAGGAAAGTGAATCTTATAAGTACTTATAGTACTTAAACGTTTCCCAGTACTCTACTTCATAATATTGGAAAAACGATAGGGAAAAATCAAATATTTATTCTAAGCCAGTTTTTGACAAAATTGATTTTGATATTTGATAGTTCAAAAACGAACAGGTAACCATAGAAAGTTTTTCACCTAAATATATTAATTTTTTTATGATAAATGTATCAAATTTGCTTATAAATGTAAGTACCCACTAGACATTCATTAATAATTACTACCTTTCAAATACTAAACATACGTACTTTTCAAGCTTAAACATAATATTGTAATGTTATTTTATTAAGTTTATTTTCATAGTTCCGTAGAATTATGTTGGAATTTATTTTTATACCTTTTTGATAATTCTCTATTTTTTAGTGTATTATTGCATGCATATTTAGCGGTATTTTATAGTGCATTAAATTCATAGATATCACGGATTTTTATCATCGTGGTCGAACACGACCGTACTGCGGGAGCGAAATGGAAAAATTCGAAAAAAATGCATTTATTTTTTTTTGTTTTTGGTATTCTAACTACAAAGTTTCTTAAAGGTAACAAAAAAAAAAAAATGATACAAATAAATAAATACAACGGTTTTCTTAGATTGAGTTGTACATCTATTATCAAAAAGTTGTAGATATGTGTTTATTTTGTA